CCTCAGCCTCCCAAAGGCGCGGGATTACAGGCTGAGCCACCGAGCCTGGCTCAAAGCTGGCTTTCTAAAAGTAGGTCACTGGTCAGAGCTTTTGAGTTACGAAAGCTGCACCAGAGATTTATTTTAGAAAAACAGTTGCCATTTGGAGCACATATTAGTGACACAGAATGGGTCACAAAACTTGCTTACTGTGTGACATGTTCAACCTGCTCAGCGAACTCCCTCTGTCACTCCACAGGAAAATGACAACTGTCTTCAGGTTGGCAGGTAAAGTGGCTCCATTCAAAGCCAACTTGGAATTATGGGGGCAACAAGTGAATATTGGGATTTTTGACACATTTCAGACATTAGCAGAGATTTTGAAAGAGACTGAGCCTGGGCCTTCTTTCTTCCAGCTGCTGCACGATCACCTACCTCAGCTTTCAAAAGTCTGAGTATTACTTCCCAACCTCAAAAGACCCCCGAAGTGGGAAGAAATGGATCCACAACCCGCTTGTGAATAAGCCAGGTGAATCGACTTAGTCTGTGCTAGAAGAGGATCAACTGCTTGAGATCGTACATGACAGTGGCTTTAGAAGTATGTTAGAGACAACTTTGAATCTTCATACGTTCTGGATTAGTCAAGGGGGAATACCCTGAGATTGCCACAAAAGCACTGACAAGCCAGCTTCCATTTCCAGCACCCTGTCTGTGTGAAGCAGGGTTTTCTGCAGTGACAGCGACCAAAACGAGATTATGGTGTAAACTGGACATAAGCAACACACTGCAGATGTCATTGTCTCCTGTCACCCCCAGATGAGACCATCTAGTTGCAGGAAAACAAGGTCGGGGCTCCCATGGATTCTGCATGATGGTGAGGTGTGTAACTATCTCCTTATATACTGCAATGTAATAATAATGGAAATAAAGTGCATAATAAATGTAATGTGCTCGAATCATCACCAAACCTCACCCCCTCCCCCCACCCCGTGGAAAAATTATCTTCCACGAGACCAATCCCTGATGCCAAAAAGAGCCAGAGTTTCGGTTTGGGGTGATGAAAATGTTCTGGTACCAGGTAGTGGTGATGATTGTACAATGTGAATGCATTTAATGCCACTGAATTGGCATTTTTTCTTATGGGCCTAGATGTGGTGGCTTATCACTGTAACCCCAGCACTTTGGGAGGCTGAGGCAGGAGGATCACTAGGGCCCAGGAGTTCGAGACCAGTCTGGGACACATAGCGAGACCTTATCTTTACCAAAAAAATCCAAAAAGTTAGCCGGGCGTGGTGGCACACACCTGTAGTCCTAGCTATTCAGGAAGCTGAGACGGGAGGATCGCCTGAGTCCTGGAGGCTGCAGTGAGCCGGGATCTTGCCATGGCACTTCCAGCATGGGCGACAGAGGGAGACCCCAACGCAGACAAAACTGATGAGTATCTCGCCACAATGCAAAGCATGCACACATCCACGTGTCAATCCATTTCAACCTGAACACAAAACCCTCGCTGGGCGGGGGGGCGCTCAGCAGCCCCCACGCCCCGGCGCCGCTCCTTCCTGATGTCAGGGACCCCCGACCGGCTGGCCCAGGGGAGGTCGCGGGGCCCTCAGACTGCTGGTCGGGGAAGACCCGGATTCGCCCAGGGCTCGGTACTGAGCGCGCAGAGCCCCCAGCCTCGGGCTTCCCGGCCCCGCGCAGCCTGCCGGGGCGGCCTCGGAACTCCCAGGGGGCGCCCTCCCCTTCACCTCTGCCCGGAACAGCCCCCCGATGACCGGCGCCGCGCGCCGCCAGTAAAACCCTCCGACCGGACCCGTCG